CACATTAAAATGAGTCAAAAACAATGAAAATCACACAATAAAAAGGCAGTATGCAAATTAAAAAATTCAACAATTCAACTTGAGAAACAGCAAATAAATAATATGTGTAAACAGCTTGGCCTAACTGTGTCCAGCTTACTCAATCTAGTTTGGATGGTTGGATAAGGTAATCCTAACCTAACTAGTGTGCTATAGCCTAATCCTGGCTTTAGAACTCCCTGTAAATAATAACTAGGTTAAATCTGTCCTAGCTACTGTAACTGTTGTAAATATTGCACAAGCCTAGCCTAACTGTGGCTACCTTGCAAATCCACTGCAAGTAATTAACACACAAGTCATATACTCTGGTTTACTTGTAATCACTGTAAATAATTAAATTCACAAGCTTCTCTAGCCTACCTGGCCTGCCTGTAAATTACTGCAAATAAAAACTTCTGTGTATAGTCAGCTTGGCCTAGCCTCTGTGTAACTCTGGGGCCCAGGGGTGCTAACTTACCTGGAGTTTTACCTGGAGTTACTAACTCTGTTAAACTCTGGTTCCTAACTGTGGCCTAGCTATGTTAATTTTAACCTAGCTATTCCACATCACAGTTCAAAGGACCACTTGTGAAAATTTGTCTGGATTGCCTCCATATGAGTTGTCTACCTTGGCAAGCTCTGTTGACAACCGAGCCCTGAGGTCGGAACCTCAGCCTCACAAGTGGCTTATAGGACAGATTTCAATAAATGGCTGATGTCGCAAGAAATCTCACCTGCATGCATGTATAAAAGACTAACTTACTTGGTGTTGGAGATTGTTTCCCGATCTTCAACCTCCCTAAGCTTTAGCCCCTCTGGACTTCTTCTCAGAACCATGTGCAATCGGGAGCCTTAATTCCTGCAATATTCATCGATATTAGTAACCTGCCTGCACCTCAGAAATTCCTGTTTCCAAAGGGGTGTGTATCCCCTAGTATAACTATGCAGAAATGGACACTAGCTTCTAAGCCTGATGGAGTGAGCTGCCGCCTGCACAAAGGTCCACAGCTCAACTCACTCGCAGTTTTCCCCAGAAACTAGCCAGAATCCCTCAGAAAAAAGGGAGGTCTCGTCTTACTGTTATGGGCCTGACGGAGGAGGTCATCTACGGTACATCGAGGTACCTCCACCAGATTTCCCCAGGGTCTAGTATGTTTAGACATGTGGGGGCGCTGCTTGCTGATCACGGCACTTGTTGCTCCAACTGTGTCTGGTCTTAGAAGAAAGGGCACTGCGGTCTCAAACACGTGCCCTAGTATTCAAACTTGGGCTGCCAGTTCTCAATGGCTAACATAACCTAGTGTTTGCCTACATTATCGGCCTGTTAAGGTCTTAGGTCTACATTATTATTATCTACAGTTACCTCAATAGTCCTAATATTAGTTCACTAACAGTGTAAACTACCTACCTCTTCCTTGAAGGGTAAATCTATCAATTAAGAAGTACCTTCGAACCACCTTCGCCAACCCGGGTGTGTGTGTGTGTGTGTGTGAGTGTACTCACCTATTTGTACTCACCTATTTGTGGTTGCAGGGGTCGAGTCATAGCTCCTGGCCCCGCCTCTTCACCGAATAAATTTCCACACATACAGTTATTAGTCAACTCCCCGTGGACTGGAGGCAAAAGCTCTCTCTTCACACGGTGACCGTCCAGGTTCGATTTCCTGTGAGGGTAGAAACATTGGACGTGTTTTCTTACACCGGTTGTCTATGTTCACCCATCAGTAAAATGGGTACCTGGGTGTTAGTTGATTGGTGTGGGTCGCATCCTGGGACAAAATTGACCTAATTTGCCCGGAATGTTCTGCATAACAAGTAGCTTTCAATATAGTAGTATGTCATTGTTGTCAGCTAGACTTGTATACCTTGTACATGTACTTGTAGAAATGAAGATATTGTATTATCATTATTATTACTAACTTCCTTCCACTTGGAAATAAGTTAAAGAACCCCAATGGAAATAAGTCACACTGTCTGACTTTTTTGGGTTATCCTAGGTTCTCTACACATATGCTGCTATGTATGATAATTCTATGTAACTGTATTTGTGTATACCTGAATAAACTTACTTACTTACTTACTTACTTTGGTCGCGGATCCTTTTCCGGGCACTGGAACTCAGGGCTCGATACGGCGTACACTGTGAGTGGCCCTATAAACCCCCAACAACAGCAGGCAAGGTGGTGGTGGTTGTTGATCACAGTGTCTTGCTGCTGTTGCTGCTTCTAGTTTCTCCTGATCTTCCACTGGCAACAGTTGTACCTTCCTGTTTAAGAACAGTTTGTCTCATTTCCCATCTCGTCCAGTTTGTTCAAAGTTGCCAGCGGAAGGCAGGACGTCATCAATGTGAGCCGCCTCAACCTCAACATCAACCTCATCAACATCAATCTCATCAACATCATCATCAAGAAGTTGAACAAGTGTAATAATGTCAGTGGTTCAGCACATCTTGCTCACACCTCGCCGACACTCCTGTATTAACAGTAAGTTATAATCATTAATGACAGTCTTGATGTTATACAACTTCATATTTTACAGAATTTTACAAGATTTACAAGAAACAAAAACATCCAAGGTAAAGTTCTGAGTGACAACATGTTAGAATTATCATTTAAGATCATTAAACCCCTGACTGTAACTAACCTCTCTTAGCTATAATAACTTCCAAAGATCATTAAAACAAACCTCACACTGAATGTCTGGGGTTCAATCCCCGGCACAGGTGGAAATGTTGGGCACGTTTCCTTACACCTGCTGTCCTTGTTCATCTAGCAGTAAGTAGGTACCTGAGAGTTAGTCATCTTACACCTGCTGCCCCTGTTCATCTAGCAGTAAGCAGGTACCTGGGTGTTAGTCACCTTACACCTGCTGTCCTTGTTCATCTAGCAGTAAGTAGGTAGTTGAGAGTTAGTCATCTTACACCTGCTACCCCTGTTCATCTAGCAGTAAGTAGGTACCTGGGTGTTAGTCACCTTACACCTGCTGTCCTTGTTCATCTAGCAGTAAGTAGGTCCTTGGGTGTCAGTCACCTTACACCTGCTGTCCTTGTTCATCTAGCAGTAAGTAGGTACCTGAGAGTTAGTCATCTTACACGTGCTGCCCCTGTTCATCTAGCAGTAAGTAGGTACCTGAGTGTTAGTCACCTTACACCTGCAGTCCTTGTTCACCTAGCAGTAAGTAGGTACCTGGGTGTTAGTCACCTTACACCTGCTGTCCTTGTTCATCTAGCAGTAAGTAGGTCCTTGGGTGTTAGTCATCTTACACCTGCTGTCCTTGTTCATCAAGCAGTAAGTAGGTACCTGGGTGTTAGTCACCTTACACCTGCTGTCCTTGTTCACCTAGCAGTAAATAGGTACCTGGGTGTTAGTCACCTTACACCTGCTGTCCTTGTTCACCTAGCAGTAAGTAGGTACCTGGGTGTTAGTCACCTTACACCTGCTGCCCCTGTTCATCTAGCAGTAAGTAGGTACCTGGGTGTTAGTCACCTTACACCTGCTGTCCTTGTTCACCTAGCAGTAAGTAGGTACCTGGGTGTTAGTCATCTTACACCTGCTGCCCTTGTTCATCTAACAGTAAGTAGGTACCTGGGTGCTAATCACCCTATACCCGCTGTCACTGTTTACCTATCAGTCATTAGGTACCTGGGCGTTAGTCACCTTATACCTGCTATCACTGTTCACCTAGCAGTAAGTAGGCACCTGGGTGTTAGTCGGCTGTTATGGGTTGCATCCTGGGGGGAAAGATTGAAGGACCACACTGAAAATAAGACACAGTCCTTGACGATGCATTGACTTTCTAGAGTTATCCTGAGTGGCTAACCCTCCAGAGTTAAAAGTCTGGCAAAATCTTATTTCATATTAATGTTAGAGTTGATGTTAGTGGCAAGGCATTTTTATTATATACATTCTACAGTATTAACCTTTAAACTGTCCAAACGTAGATCTACGTTTTTTCAACATTTGAAAGTATGTAAAAAACATAGATCTTCTTTTGTTTTTTACATTTAAAAGTGTGTAAAAAACTTGGATCTATTTTTTTTTTATATATTTGAAAATATGTAAAACAACGTAGATCTACTTTTAGAGCACTACACATGTGAATGTAGATCTATGTTTGGACAGTTTAAGGCTTAAGTGTGTTGTGCAATGGAGATACAGTATTATGTATAAATTTAGTGCCTAGTGATGATTCTCTTTCAATTGCTTGTGCTTTCTAGGCTGGAATATTGCTGTACACTAATGGCCCCCTTCAAGGCTCACAACATTGCAGACCTGGAGAGTGTACAAAGAACTTTCACAGCACACATAAGTGCGATAAGGCACCTAAACTACTGGGAACGGTTGAAGGTCCTTGATCTGTATTCCCTCGAACACAGACGAGAGAGATACATGATAATATACACTTAGGGGGTCCTGGAGGGATTGGCACCAAACCTGCACACAAAAATCACTCCATATGAAAGTAAAAGATTCGGCAGGAGATGCAACATTCCCCCAACGAAAAGCAGGGGTGCCACGAGTACACTGAGAGACAACACAATAAGTGTCTGGGGCCCAAGACTGTTCAATTGCCTCCCAGCATACATAAGGGGGATTACCAATAGACCCCTGACTGTCTTCAAGAAGGTACTGGAGAGGCACCTAAAGTCAGTACCTGACCAACAGCACTGTGGTTCATATGTCAGCTTGCATGCAGCCACCATTAACAGCCTGGTTGATCAAACCCTGATCCACCATGAGGCCTGGTCTCAGACAGGGCCGCGGGGGTGTTGACCCCCCAAAACCCTCTCCAGGTAAACTCTAGGTAGTGGTTTCTATGAGGCACCGCCTGGCAGGAAAGAATAAGTGTCACCACTGCCAAACCTGGGTTAGATATGATAAGATTATTTTAAGATTTTTAATTCCGGAAAATTAGGAACCCAGGATAACTCGAGAAAGTCGGTGTGTCATCGAGGACTGTCTGTCTTATTTCCAATGTGGTCCTTCAGTCTTGTCCCTCAGAATGCAACCCACGGCAGTTGACTAACACCCAGGTGCCTTCTTGCATGCTAGGTGAACAGGACAACAAGTGTAATGAAACACGCATAATGTTTCCACCCTTGCTGGGGATTGAACCAGAGACACCATGTGTGAACTGAGATCGTTGCCTACCAGGCCATGGGCCACCGTGAATGAATTGATGATTTAACCCTTTGAGGGTCGACAGGCCCTCTCCGAAACTCGTTCTCAGGGTCGGCCAAATTTAAAAAAAAAAAAAATTATTTTCTCTTATGAAAAGATAGAGAATCTTTTCCCGATCATAAAGACACCAAAAGTTTGAAATTTGATAGAAAACTTACGGAATTATGCTCTCGCAAAGTTAGCTGTCTCGGCGATGTTTAAGCATCGGCGATTTTGCCCACTTTGAGCCCCATTTTCGGCCAATTTCACTGTACTAGTCGACAAAAAACATGAATACTTCGCTAGAACTCCATTTTTTCTATCGAATGGATGCAAGAAACCACTCATTTATGAAATTCAACTATCCAGTACAGTGGTCAGAATTTAGCAATTTTGCCAATTTCACACAAATTTCAAAAGATGCCAATTTCGGAATAGGGTCCAGAATAAACAAGAAAGACATTCCTGGCACTAAAATGACATTTCCTCTAGTCATTAGTCATGTCTCAAGTCCCCTCTTATATTCTTTTGCTTTCCACTTTGAATTTTTATTTTCACAAAAATATAAGTTTACTGTTATGCAGACTACTGCATTAAGTGTAAAAAATGGTATAAATATTATTGGTGCACTTGTGAAAGAATATTAGACTCACCAGTTGACGTGTATTGCACGCTTGGCACGATTTGTTTACTTTTGAAGTTTGGTAAAAATCGAACATTTCTGCTACTTTGAGCTCAATTTCAAGGCACCTTTCTTTGTAAAACCAGTCAAAATCATCTCAATTTCGTAATATGTCTTCCATTCTATAAAATGAGACCAAGAAAACTAGAATACAACAATAAATACCATACGAAAATACACTGCAAAGTCGCTGATTTATTAAAAACAAATGGTCAAAGTTTTTTTTTTCTCATTATGCACTGTGTGCTGCAGGATTTTTTTTAGACTGTGCACACTGACCACATAGACCCATTCTTTCATATGAAGGCCTACCAGCTTTCTCCCACTAGATTTGAGGCCGCTAGAATTTATGAGTACTAGTACGTCAAAAACCCCTACGCGTAAAACGTACTAGTACGACGAAAACCCTCAGAGGGTTAATTAAGGTTATGTCTGTGTGTGGAAAGTGTAGAAATTGTCTTCTGCATCAGTAAGCTCAACTCAGAGCCCCATGACAAAGTATGGTAACTTGAGCTTCATAGCTATGATCTATTCCATGCCTGCATTTTGTCCCTTATTTCAATATGGTGCTTGTTCTTTTCTGCCATGTATTGCTTCATATAACCTAACTTAATGTTACCCAGCCTAACCTAACTGACAATTTTATGGCTAGTTTAGATTAGGTTAGGTTTGGTTGGCTTATATTATTTAATTTACTTATGAAAATAAAGCTTCTTTTCAATTTGTCAAAAATAAACTGTTTCCATTGTGAAACAAACCTAATATCAAAGAATATGCATTATAAATAATAATACTATTTTGCCTAAAATACCATACCATGGGCGGGGATTGAACTCGGGGCGAGTGAGTCGTAAAACTCCAGGCATGCACATAAACTGCTGGGCCAGCTGGCTACAATAAGGTTTATTCAGCTAGGTATATTTATACACCATAGAGAGGTTAGTATGGTTTGTTTGCAATTGTGTCATTACGACACAGTTGCAAGAAGTATAAGTAACAGAAATCCAAAAGTTATTTTATAACTCTATACATCACTAATGAGGACTCATTTGGATTATGCTGCTCAGTTTTGGTCTCCTTACTACAGGATAGATATAGAATCATTGGAGAATATACAGAGAAGAATGATCAAAATGATATACAGTAGGGCTACTACCGGAAAGCAGACTTTGCCGGAAAGCAGAACTCCATTTTTTCCATTTATAAATGCCAGATAACAAATTTAGACTAACATATATTAAGTTACCAATAGAACTAGGCATTAAAAGTAAAATACACACACAGTACATTCATTATTTACCTCAAAATATTTGTAGTCTTAATGCAGGGCAAAAGGTGAGTAGTATTTTCTCTAAGAAGTCAGGTGTGGTAGCCCTCCTGGCCACCCCACCCACACATACTATACTATGATGCTTAAAGCTCCCTAGAGCGATAAAATGCATATACAGTACACTCATTACTTACCATAAAATATTTATAGTCTTAAAGGTCTTAATGTATGGTGAGAGGTGAAAAATATTTATTTGTAGAAAGTCGTGTGGGAGGTATGGCATCCTGCCTGGCCACTCCCACCTACTTCAACATTAAGCTCCCTAGAGCGATAAAATACATGTATGGTACACTCATTAATTTCCTTAAATTA